TGGCATCAAGGCTGAGACATCTCTTCCACTGAATCAGCAGCACACCACTATTTCAACAATGGCAATGGTAAGCAGTTGTCAAAGTATTGGTTTTAGAGCTCAGGTATCCTGTGAAGTTCATTTGTCACCATGTACAGTGGGAAACAATGACCAGATCCACCCAAATTTCTGAAGGATCACTGCCCATTACAGTTGTCCTTAGGACCACTATCACATGGACAACTGCACAATTATATCTTTAATTTTAGCTGCAAAATCCAAACAGAAGTCTATTTTAGTTGAGGTAGATGTTAGGTTTAATCTGTTAAGCTTAACTTTTTGGTGCTGAGAATTGTCGAAGGATTTCATGAAAACAGAGGAAGATGATATATTTGTCAACAAATCATTTTCTTTTCTTCAGGTTGATGTATCAGCTGTTAATCTAAGACTGCAGTACTCAAGTTACTTCTTGTTTGTGATGGTGATCACCTGTGTGCTCTATGGAATGATCAAAGGAAGACCAGTCAAACAAAGTAAAAAGGTACAGATAGGAACAAAACCAGCTCAAAACCAGCTCAAAAGGCAAAAGCCTACAGGAGGTTGAATGATGATTTTGCATAAGTTGCAAAGGACTGGGGTTTGATTTTGCATGGAAATTCAGAGTTTTTCTTTGTCCAGGGTTCTTGATAACACAAACATTATTTTTCTCTGTCCGACCACCATGCTCAAAATTTGCCTTCTTTCTTATTCTATAAGTTCCTTTTTACTGCTCTTATGACTAGACAGTCAATAAGAGCTTGACATTGTAAGTCAGACAACTGATAACAACTCTTGTCTATTTAATATTTTGATTGTTTATGTTAAAGTGCCAAAGACAAAATACCACAGCATACCCAAGTGTTTCTCTCTAAACACTTTATTGTAACAATTTGAAATTTTTCTTTGACCAAGTAGTAACTGTCATAATACTCTTATTTGGTTGATCAAGTTGCTCTAAAGATTATCAAGAACTATGTGGAGTGATTATAAAAAGAAATGAGATAACATCGAATGAAAGAGTGACTGAATTGGTGTTGGGCAAGTTGATGAATGTAACTGTAAATGAGAAAGCAACCAACACCAATGCATTTGTCAATATATAGTCTTTTAATTTGCATTGTTTTCTAGATTCCTGCAATACATCAGTAGCGATATCATGCTAGTAGATATTTCTTTTGTATTTTATACTTGGTACGAGTCCTTGCACTCACTGACAGTTCACAAAAGAAGAGATAGCTAAGGTTGTAACTAATGTAACAAATGAGGGAGGGTGATGGTCATTAAAGTGCATTAGTCACTGTGCAAAGATAACTTTTGTTGTACTTTTTTTGCAGTCAAACCTTCCAATATGACGATATTTGCAAAGAAGTATTGTATTGAATTGTCTAATTCATTAACCATGCCCACAGTTGAATTTATGGTGACATACTTAAAAATAAGTATATCACTAGAAAAATATCATGCACAGCTGCACTTGTAAATAGCTTGAATATGGCTAGTAAACCATGCATATTAGTTAAGTTTACTATGCTTGCAAGAAGTAGGTAGTGGTCCAGTGTTTTTTTCAGTTGCAGGTTAATTAGGGGCTTAGATGTGAATCTCACCAGTTGGTATCAAGTAGTCACTAACATTGTAAATGTGATAGAAATCTCATTATCTGGAAATAATTCCTAAAGAAAAATTTGGCATCTCATTGTACTAATCATTAAATTAAACCCAGAATTTATTTATTTTCCTGTATGATTCTGTCAACTTTGGTCACAAGTTTAATACAAACCATAATTGATTATTGTAAATTGTAGATAACTGTTCAGCTTCCCTTAGCTTTTTGTTGATATAAGAACAATTCAATATTTATGGGTTTTGCTGTTGACAATTTAGTATGAATCTGTCAAGCCCTTAATCTTAAGAAAATCGGGAACCCAGCTTGAGAATTACTTCTCAACAAACTGTTCACTTTCCAGCTAAAATGTAGCATGGATAACATTGTTATAGTAAGTGATAGCTTAAAATTTTCCAAAAATTGAAATCTCTTACTTCAAGTGGTGTAATTCCTAGCTTGCGCAGGGTTTCTTAAGTTTACCTAATATACCAGGTGTTATACAAGAAGAAATTGTATGCTTTCAGAAAATCAGTCCATGGTATTTTCTAGTTATAAAATAAGTAGCCTTGCATACCCTAATTTGATATGAATTACCTTTAATTACAGAAGAAAAGTATTGTTGTGAAGTTCAGACATTTTGATGTAGAACACCTGTTGTTTCTTATCTCACATGTACACTTTTCCATTTAATGCAGAATTTTTTTGAGGGGCCATTTTCTGCCTTCTCAACCTTTTTGCCCGAGCTACATGTTGCTCATGTCATTGTAAAGAACGACTTTCTAGTTTAGTCCCAGGGGTGTGTGCAATTCCCACTGTCTTGGAACCTTCTTCATTTTCAATGTTACCTTAACTTCAACCTAGTATCAATATTTTGTATTATATAACTTAAAGATGGGAAAAGAGTGAAATAAAGGAAAACTGACTAAGTGTGGTGGGATTACTTTGATTCATTTATGGATAAAGTTCAGCAAGGTTGAACTGTTGGAAATCAGATACTAGTGTCTAAAATCAGACAGCAACATCCCAAAAGATAAGGAAGTGTCTGAAATTAGGGGAAAGTATTGGAAACAGATGACAATGTCCTAAACTGGACATAAGTGTCTAAACTCACTCAAAAGGAAAATCAGAGTGCAAGACACCTTGCAGATTTCTCTCAGTTATTTCTGGTTCTGTACAAGGAGCAATTCACTATGGGTTGCACTCCTCTGGCTGGGTAGTTCTAGCTGATATTTCATTGTGAAGGCAATATTTTACTGCTGGTGTTGTTTTTCTCTAACAGTGTTCTTTTTAAAATAATTTGAGAAATTTTTTTAAAATAAATACTGGTTTAGAACCTCAATTTTCCTATAATTTTTAAAGTTGGATATATTTGAGTGTTAAACAGTCCTTATCATTAAGCTTGGTTTCCCTCAAGTTTCATGGTAGTATGATGCTGAGCATAGGGAAAGCTTTTGAGTCTCTACATCAAGGAAATATATTTTTTTCTAAGATAAACAAAGTATTATTTTTCCTTGAAAAGTGAAATAAAATTGTAAGACAAGATGGAGTTGGGTTTTATCATTACTATTTTCATTTTCATACCAAGAAAGGGTGCTTGTCTTGTTCATTCTTTCTGGTTAAGTTAGAGGTGTTATGCATTATGAAGAATGTTTGTGTTAACTTCTTGAGTCATCACACTATTTGTTGAGGCATCAACTTAAATGATTTAGTGGGAAAAATAATGCAAGAGATTACCAGCTCACTGGATCAACTCCAAAACTGAGGCATATCTGAATCTGAGTCAAATTTACTGGCTCACAGATCAGCAGTTTCTAAATGAAAAAAATACCTCTTTGCTTTTGGGAGTGAGCTGCAAGACGAACTTCTTCCGAATGTTTAATTAGGCTTTTAGACCAGATAATATTGAACAGGGTCCACTTATTAACATCAAATTACACTTGCAGTTATGTTGTTGCCTATAAAAATAGACAGCTCTTTTCAATAGCTGTTTTTCCAAGTATTTTTAGTGCTGAATGCTAGTGACTAGCATTTTGTCAATTGATGCCTCTTTCCAATCAACCCTCAGAGTAATTGATTAATTGCCTAACCACCATTAGTAGAGGAGACCACATTTAAAATACAACAGATTTCTATGTCATCTGTTTTCAATGGAGGTTTTAGACCTGGTCAATTATATGCCACCAATCCTGAATCATCTTACCAACAGAAACTTCCCACCAGTGAATTGTCACAACATGCTTAGGGTTACAGAAACAAAGATTGGACCCCACCATAGGGCTCCCAAAATAAACTGTAGTACCATTGTTTACATATTTAATTTTGTTTTCCTTTCCCTAACCTGTCACCAGCCCCCCATAACTATGGTCTAGTCTGTCAAGGCACTACACGAAAATAGAAGTCACAAGTCATCATTCATGAATCTGGTAAATTTTGAGACACCATTGGGAAGAGGAGCAGATACATCACAGATCTTAATTCCTGATCTTGGTATCTCTTCCACAGAAAGTGACACAGGGACCCACTTGATTTCACCTTTTGTCACTTTGTGAAATTCCATCGTCACCAGACCAGATACTTTAGAACCAACAATGAAAACACACACTTTCCATCTGTCTTCATTTTTGTGAACATTTTCTTTTCCTGTTCTGTCACGTGCTTCAATTAAAGAGATTTCTTGGCGGTTATACCCTATCACAAGCACCTCGTCTCCAAACTTTGTTCGGAAACCTTCTTCATTTGACAGCTTTTTCCAGGTTGAGTTGTAAGCCGCTCTCTTCAAAGCGTATTCATCTTTTTTGTCTTCCATAAGAGTCGTCACATCTAATAAATCTTCGGGATCGTCATATAACTGAAACATGGACGCTATGTGTTTTGCCATATGGGGGTTTGTGTGCTTTAGTTGTACTGTCTCCTCCTCAATCCCAAATGTTAACAATCCGGTCGCACTTAACGTCAAGGAAACAGCAACGCACGACCAAAATACTACACCACCAGCCAAGCAAAAATATCGAAACCCTTGTAAAATTCTTGATTTCATACTTGAGGATTTTGAGGAAAACCCTTTCACGTCTGAAAGTAATTTCGGATTCCATGGAGGGCGCCATCCAATTAGAAGTGTGTTTGAATTGCCTTTCGTTTTCGTCACTACTGTTTTAACAAGTCCATATTTTGACATCAAATCAGGAAAAACTCTAGCTCTTTTGCCAGTAAATCCTGTCAATCTTGCTAGCCTTGTGTGAAAAAGGAAGAAAGCCATTCATAAACAGTCGAAATATTCCTAACCCTTCTATCGCTTTTTGTCTCATCGGCGCTTAATATCCAGCGGTAGTACAAGTAAAAGGAAGTTCACTCATCTCTCTCGTCACATAGTGTACACTATATGTATTCAAGATGGCGGCCACCGGAGGAAGCCACCTATCGAATGGTCGAGTTAATGTGGGCTTGCTGCGCGAATGCGCGAGAAGGGAACTTCTTCAGTGCTTGAATAAACAGCCTGGATCTAAGGTAGCGAAAAACCATCTGGTAGATTTGATTGAATATCGATCCTTCTTGGAAATGATGGTCAAGGCTTTTCCAACCGGTAGTTGCTGAATGATTCCTTACTAAACAATTTTACTACCAGGAGTGAACTGCAATTAAACTCTCCCCACAATATTATAAATACATTTTGATAAACAAGGAATAATATTGTTTGATTAAACAATTAATTCTCAACACTTTCATCAAATGTATGTCAGAAAGTATCTAAAGAGACTATTGATCTTTAAGTCATGGGAATGAAAGTTTTAGAATTGACCTTTAATTTTGGACGAAACTTTTTAAAATTATATACTTTTTTTTTGCTTTTTGCAACAGGCTCTGGTTTGGGACGACAAGCTTACTGGGCCGTTTGGTTTGATTGCTGAATACAAGCTATTAAAGGTATGACTTAATGATATTCCAACTCATTTATTTTTCAAACTAAAATTGTGGTAGAAGAGATAGCATTTGGCAAAACATCTCAGTCTACCTTGCAGTAGTAACTGGTCAAGTCACCCAGAAGTCATCTCTCCAAAGACATGTCACCCGAAACCTGAGTCATGCCACCCGAAATAAAAAGTCAAGTTGCCAGATTTCCTTATCACTCGTAAAACATCGAAATGGCTTATTTTTAGAAACCACTGAAGGTACCCTCCAATCAAACAACATCTTGGTGTATTTTCTTACCTTACCCATCCTTAACCCTTTAACTCCCAAGATCTCATTAGTAATTCTCCTTACTGTCTGCCATATAGTTCTTGTGATGTTGCTTTTGAGAATTCAGTATTGGATCAAGTAATAATCCCCTAATTAATATTTTCCTTTATTCTCATCACTTGTCTGCTTGATATTGTATTGATATTGTAAGGAGAAATTGTGCCTTGATCACTAATGGGAGTTAAAGGGTTAACAGTAAGATGTCACCTGATGCTACTTGATTTAAAAGTTCAGCGAGACATACATAACTAACATAAACCAACCTGTGATTTGAAAGAGAGTATTTTTATGCTTAATTTGTTTCATTGACTAAAGGAATTGATACAAAACATGTAGCAAAGCAATCAAAATGAATGGATCATGTTGTCCTAAACGAAGAAATTAAACCTGAACTAAAATTCAGCAGATACAAGCTAATCCTATACTAACTTGACTGTAAACCTTTGCAGTCATTGTAATTATTAGAACATCATGATTACATTTTCTCATGTTTCTCCATCAACAAAAAAGTTACAAAGAAAGTTGCTCTGACATGGAAACCAATGTATTAAACAAAAAAAAATGGAAAAAAACGAAGACTTTTAGAGTCTTATTTCCCCACTTAAAGATGTGAAAACAGTTAAAATTGAGCACTTGTTTTCACGTTTGCCTTGAGTGTTTTGTTCATAATATGTTATTATAAATTGTAAATATGAATGCCTGGTGGATTTTGAGGTTGTTCCATAATGTGTGCTTTTCTTCTAATTAACACAGGAACATGAAGTTGAAGTCATGTTCCCTCTTCGTCCTGGGCGCTTACCTCCATCACAAGTGCATAACGTTATATTTATCACAAGACCTAAACCCTCATTGATGGACATTATTGCTAATAATGTCCTAAGGTAAGCTGAAGTTCTAACTTACTCTCAAAGAGAAAATGTTCAGTTGAGTTGAAAATTAAAACATGTGAACAATTTTGATATGTACTTCATTCTAAGACAGCAGATTATCACTTTGTCAAAAAATTCATATGTACTTTACTTAAATAATATATATTCAAAACTCTCACTATCCACACTCAGACAATCAAGGGTATTTAAAATAATCTACTCTGTCTCCTGTAGATATAACGATATAACTATCTTCTCTGTAAGCAGTAAGTAAAGCTTTCTACAGTGTCTAACATACATGTATACAGTCTTGTACAGCTTTCTACAAAGTATACCCTTAACATTAAATAGTCAATCATACCCTCATCTTTAAAGTCTGCCTGCAAAGTCTCGATTAGATTCAGCTATCAACACTGTCCACATAAGATTAAGCTATTTCCACTGTACACAGTAGATGAAAGTATTCACACTGTCTTTTGTCCAGAGAAAATGTCATTAGTTGAAATTCATCTTAATTCTCATTACCTATCAGCTCTAGAGTGTATGCAATTTGAAAGGAGTATTCACAAATACTTTTCTCGCAGAGGATCAAAATGTCAACATGAGGGCCTCATGTCTACATTTAAGTGCAGTAAATTAAATACTAGTACTATGGTTGATAGCATCAACCTTTCCATGAGTGTGACAAAAACATGTTCTTTTGCACTACCAAACTTCAAAACTTCAACATTTTTGGTAGAAAAACTTTAAAATTGTGGCACTATTCATTCTTAATTTTTGATACTGTCTTTGCATTGATGAACAACATTCTTTCAACTTCTGTCAGTAAGTGAATGGAGCTGTACGAGAGCTTTCACTTGAATGTGTTAGTTGGTGGATAGTGGTATGCCACAGTTGAAATTTCTACTCTATTTGTTGACTTCAAATGCTATTGCTGATCATCATCCACAATTGCAAAAACCCTCTCAAGTGGGCAGGAAATGCAAAACCTTCATCCAAATGGGTGGGAAAACTTTGCAGTTATGTCATCGAAACATTGAAGTTTGATAGGCCAATAGGAAGGTTAATTATCAAATGTTGCCAATTGTTTCACTTTGTTATTCAGTGAGGAAGGCAAGACTGAAAGCAAGAAAAAAGAGTTCACCATCCTTTTTGTTCCAAGAAAGACTTTGTTATGTCAAAGGAAACTTGAGGTAAGTTTACTAGTTGTATAATTTTTTTAAAATAAATATGTTACATCTTAACACATGCAAGAGTGTGATGTTATTATAATTGTTGTTGTTCATATTTTCTTAATCCAAAGCTTTGATTTATCATAATCCCAAGCTGTGATTTTAAGTTATAAGGGTCAAGAACTTTGAGAGCCTGCTAAAGGTAACCTTGTTTCCTTGAGAAGGCATCTGTGGGCTTATAGAAAATTTTGGTCCAAATTTTGTGCACTTATTGGAAGGAAGGTTGCAATTTAGTACTTGTGTCAGGAGTTGTGATTTTATTTAATTTTAATCTTACCACAGCATCAAAATTTTGTACATTATCCATGGAGACATATAATTTGTTGTTCCACATAATTGTAATGATACTGCTGTAGTTAATAGTCATTCTTACAAAACTTTAGATACAGTGACAATAGGAACAACTTTTACTGTATGCCCAATTTAATCAAGGGAGTTGGTGTTTAGGAGAGGGTATGGATACTTATTCAAGGAGATACCTGCACTGTAATTTTCCAGCACATCCAGTTGGTTGAAAACTTTTAGTTTATTCAAAAGGTATGTGGATGTGTGCTGGAAACATTAGGGTACGTTCTGATATTTTATAGCGCTGTTTTGTTTTCAGGAATGGAAGGTATCTTTTATCAACATCGATGAATATCCTCTAGAGCTTATACCATTGGACAGTGATGTCTTGTCACTTGAGATGGAGTCCAGCTTCAAGGTAAACTGCAGAAATTTAATCATTCTAATACTAAATAAATAACTGAAAGTTGGTAAGTTACCCCCCTTAATTTGAGTTTTGTAATTTTTTAAGAATGGGCTTAGATCCATTTTTGTTGTAGTATTTTCAAACATCCCATAAGTGTTTGTGAAAGTACACACCAAAATAATCTTCTTGCTTTGCCAATCTATAGCTATTTGCAAAGATTGCAAGTAATGAAGTTTGTTAGTTTGGAGAAGGTGCAATCAAATATCTCTCTATTTGTAAATTTTTTCAATTTGTTTTGCAGGAGTGTTACTTGGAAAATGACTCCACATCATTATTTTATGTTGCCAACTCCTTGATGACACTTCAAACATTGTATGGCACAATCCCTAAGATTTATGCAAAGGGAGATATGTCAAAGGTGAGAGCCATACTGATTTATTGATCATGGTAAATATAAATAGATAAAGATAAGTGTTTTGAAAAATCTGTCAAAAGAAAATGAGAGGTGCATTTCTTACATTGATCAAATAATGTACTGGTAAAATTGTAAGACAGTAAATACTTATTCCTCAAGGTATCTTTGTATCACATATAGAACTATTTTTGATGTAAAGCCTCAATAATGGTTCATTTTCCAAAGATTAAATTTTTTCAGTGCTGTTTTGGTTCAGCTTGTATTTTTAAAAAGACTTCAAATTTAGTGAAATTGTACGTAGAAGTTTAGTGTTACTGGCCAAACTTCATTTTAAAATTTCAGGAAACAAAGTAGGGTAACTACAAAATTTAGTGCTACAGTTATTAAAATAAATAGTCATAGTTTTTATTCATAAAAATGTTTCTGTTCCTCAGAGTGAAATTTTGTTGTAGGGTTATTTTACAATCCATTTTATTTGAAAATGCAATTATTTTTGTTAGTTAAGTGAAATGAGTATAGTTTTGTTTCATTAAACGTCATCGAAGGTAAAATATGGGTTTAAGCTTGTTAGTCAATGGTAGTATGCATTATTTTTCTCATTGACTTTTTCTTATTAAATTGTTACAATTAATTATTGTAAACAGCTAGTCTTAGACATGATGATGCGCAAGAAACGAGAGGCAGCTGATGCAGAAAACCAAGTCTCACCCCAAATCGACACACTTCTGTTAATCGATCGTAACATTGACTTACTCACTCCATTATTTACTCAACTTACCTATGAAGGACTGATAGATGAACTATATGGAATACACCACAGTAGGTACCATTGAGTTAAAGGTTACGACTGCTCAATGATTACTTAAAGAAATAAAGTTGAGGCTCATTTTCTTTGGAGACAAAGTTGAAGTATGAGTTATAGCTGGAGTTGCAACTAAAAATGTACTTGTAGCTTATTGAATCCAAAGTCTAAGTTGAAAATTGAGTCTAGGGCTGGATGGAATTGGAGTCTGAATAATCCGATTGCTTGATTCCACTTTTGTCTCCATCACTTCTGATAAAGTGGAAAATCTGCTGTTAGATTTGCAAGCAGATGTTAAGGAACCAAACAATCACCCTGATGAACTGAAGTAACTGCAGATGCAAGGGCAATTATATCTGTATATTGAGTCCTAGAATAATTATAGAATTTACTTTATGATTCTGTTATTACAGTACTATGTTACCAGCAATTGTTAGAGTTAATTTAGTGTTAACAACTGAGTTGAAAACGTAAATTGGTCATGGTTTTTTACTCTTTATGGTGGCCAATTTACGTTTTCAACTCAGTTGTTAACAATAAATTACCTGCTATACTCTCCCGCCGACGCAGCACCACAGTTTCTTTAGAAACTTACCCCCTTTAATCGCTAGAGTTAATCACAGACAAATTGTATTTTCTCTTTGAAGCCACAGCAAAGTTTCCACCTGAGAGATTCCCTCAAACTGAAGAGAAAGGACCCGGAGGACTTCAACAACAACAACCCACTGGACCTAAGAAAGTTGTTTTAAACTCCAGTGATGAGTTGTTCTATGATATACGAGATCTAAATTTCTCTGCTGTGGGAATTCACTTGAGCAGGAAAGCCAAGCAGATTAGTGCTGCATTTGAGGTCAGTTCATGGCCAAAAACATATCTTTGATGATTTCTCAAAGTTTCTTTTACCTTCCTCTGATCTGGTTGATAAATGCCAAGGTATTGGTTAAAAAAAAAGAAGGGAACTAGTTATTGTTAGTGTTCTGACCTGACAGATTTTAGAGACAGTTTGTTTATTTATAAATTTGGAAGAAGCTGTAGGGTAATGGTAAGTGCACTGGAGTCTGGGTCATGAGGATTGTGCCTCTTTCCACTCAGAAGTAAAAATGGGAACCAGCAAATTATCAGGGGAGCGTTATGAAGTGATATGGGGTAACCTTGCGATGGACTGGTATCCCATCCATAGGAAGTAGAAATTCTCCTAATCACTTCATGCAATGGAAACTGAGATAAACTCTGGCTACATGAGTCATTTTGCTTGAGTACAGACTTTACCTAGTACCTAAGTTCTTTTGTTTATTATGATGGGTTTGCTGAAATGAGGTGTAATTCACATCATTTCCATCCTACTGTGACTGTAAAAGAAAACCTCATCTCTAGAGGTAGATTTATATCATTGATAGTTATGGAAGTCAAGGGAAATGACTGAAAATTTCTTAGCTGAAAATGACAGTGCAAAGAATGCCTCCTTTGAGTGATAGTAATCTCCTCACATAAAAATTCAAACAAGTGTTGGACCCAAGAGATCATGGAAAGTCATGGAATTTTATGAGGTTGAAAGTAAAAGAGTACTCTGCTAAAGAATATGTTATTATTCATTGTGTTGAATAAATTAATAGATGATTTATTGTTTGTCTGATTGCCTGATCAATTTATATCAATAGCCTGACACTATATCAAGAGACAAACAATAAAACACCTCCTAAAAGAGTACTTACCCTGAAAAAGTAGTAAGCTCTTTTGATGTCTTGTGTGACTCCTATTCTGAGTTTTGCTGAAGATTCTTTTTTATCTTGCATTTTGCATCACCAGGAGCACAAAAGTGCCAAAACAGTGGGTGAAATGAAACAGTATGTTCAGAGGATTCCATTTATGCAAAGAGCAAAAGCTTCTCTTGCAACTCGTGAGTGAAGAAGTGTATTGTACTGGACCCAGTGGTTTGAGGGCAGATAATGTTATATCCACTGAATAACACTTGATATGGTGGAAAGTGCAGTATGTTTTGTTAACACATGCCTATTTCATAGAGATTTGTCCATTAAATAGCATTATCTGCTCTCTGAACAACTAGGTCCTGGAGTTTAAAATGTTCATTCTTTTCTGTAACTGTGTAACTTGTAAGACATGAGTCTGATCTGATTTAAGGTTAATCATTAGAATTTATACTGTAGCACTTTTCCGAGGACTTTACATACTTTTGAGTGCTTTGGAATCATCACTTTAATGTTATTCAAATAATTAACTAATCAATATACTAACCCTTTCCTTGGCACTATGGCTTGATATCATCTTTGATTTTTTTTAACCAAATTAATATAGATGAAAAAAGGAACTAAAACCATCTTTTTGAAACAAGCAAGGTCAATTTGAAAATGTAATATATGGCCACAGAGGAATTTTGCTTTTGTAAGAACAAAGTGGGTATTCCTAAGTAGGAAGAAAAGCCAGATCCTGCTTACTTAGGTAGACAATCTCAATACACTTAAAAGATGTTTCTGTACATCATACAGAATCCCCAGAAATGATGACAACTGTGGAAAGATCTTGATGTACAAACCTGGAATAGTCTCGCAAATAACCTCAAACTGAATGAAATAATTACTCTAACCTGACCATTCTGAAGTTTCTCACATTATTGTCATCTTTGACTGTAATTGATTTCACGTCATGCTGTTGCCCTCCACTGAAATGTACATTGTTGCAAAACGATAACTAGGGTGACCACGGGAGTGGACAGTGAGTTTTTTTATCTTCCTCCCTCTTGGGTCACATCAAATAGTTTGACTGCAACTGTTGGTTTTCATGTGTATATGCATTTCAAAGCTTTCAAGATCCAATTTTAGGCTTTTTCGCTGGTTTTCATGTGTTGTAAATGAATTCATAAAGCTCCAATTTTAGGATCGTTGGTCCTCCAGACTAGACAAGCTGGTAGTATGCAAATGCAAAAACTTCAGATTCAAGGTAAATCAAAAGAGATTAAGGGAGATATGCATCCTTGTTTTTAGATACGACCATAGCAGAGATGGTCAAGGAACAAACTGATTCTGAAGAGTTCAGAGAACGTATTCAAGTTGAACAAGGTTTGTGTTTATCAAAAGTGATTTATGATAACTGGTGCCTTTCTCATGATCATTGCTGCGTACCACAACATTAAAGTAGTTCCATCTTTACATTATTGAGACTGTCTTTACATTATTAAGACACAGTCTATAGTGATGTGTCTTTTGCTGTGCCTGCGATCCAGTAGAGGGAAGCGTGGATGCACTGAGCCAGTGTCTAAATGAGATTTCATCGCTGTGATAATGCGATTTTTTTTAACACTCTTAACAGTGTGCGTGTATTTCAATGACGAAAGCGGTGACTTCATTTTTTTCAAAATGATTCATCTTTGCACTAGATCTTAAAGAAAACCTTGGAGTATGTTCAATGCCAGTTCGACTGATCGATAATTTATGGTGACTTAGAACCTTCGTAGGTTTTTTAAACCTTGGAGGGTTTTATTCTAGTATCTTAAGTTGCCCATCGAATATTGTTGCTATAGCGTCAACATTGAATTTGGTTGTTGCGACGCGTTTTTCAACCACCGACTTATTCCACTTGAATTTACGTCCTTAGCGAACTGACTGAAAACAAATTGTAAATAAAAACAAGAGTCTATTCTCGGGGTACACTGGGTCATTTTGTCTAAATTTATTCATGTGAAAGCGTGTCCGTTTGGTGAGCGAGTCTTCTTTACAGTCCAGAACTACATGGTCATACACGAGTTCTGCTCTTCAATGTAAAGAATTGTGCGACACCCAACACGCAACTGTTCCATAACTGGGCGAACGAGAAGAATTGCGTATTCAGCCAATCGCATTTAATTTCCCAGCAGTTTGTCCAACTCCTTTCTAAACTTGAGTACATGAAACATGTTCTTAAGCTGAAGTGTGTGTTCAAGACACTTGTAAAAATAATCTGGGCATTCTTCTCGGAGCTCTTGAAGTTCAATCAATGTTTGTCCTGTGAATTCAGCCATGTCTTTGTCACACACCTGTGCCAATCCAATTTTCTTCAGCCATTTTTTCACTTCCTCATTTGTCCATCCGGCTACATCTGGACCAGAGGGCTGTTTTGTTAGAGTCGTGGCCTCGGTTGTTCGAATCACCGCCTCTGGGGAGCCGTCTGTGTGATCCACATCTTTTCCTCTTCCCGCTAATTCTCTGACCAGTTTTGCCACACCAGAATCAATGGTATGCTTACTCTGAAAGTCAATCCACATTTTCGTTCCCAACAGCATTCCTAGCCAGCCATCCGCTTTGTAATTTTTCTGCATCATCAAAGGAATGATGTCTTTTCTTAACTGATAGGCGTACTCGGCCTCTGAACGACAGTTGGGACTCTCTTTGTATCTTTGTGACACGCAGATCAGAACAACAGCGGCGTTCTCGACAGCTTTGGCCATTGCGTCCAGTGTAGACCCACCCATTTGCTCCAGATCCATCCATACTCTGTACCCATTAGCCTGAAGTTGATTTTTGACTTGGACCAAGACTTCCTGAGCATCCCATTGGTAGCTAATCATCACGTGGTTTCCAGACCCCTCTTTCATCTTTTCGGCTTTATCTCTTGCTGTCTTTCCTTCAATCTCCCACAATGCTCCAGCGGCTGCCTTTTGCACTGCAGCGTTTTGACTGTGGTGTAATGTGCGTAAGATGTCCACGGTTCCGTTTCCCTCTCGAATGATATCCTTGTTAGAGTCGTCGAAAGCTAGCATCCACAATGCCTTGGCGGCACTCGCTCGTTCCTCGTCGTCGCTTGAGGTCTGGAGTGTTGACGTTAAGACTCTTATTGCCCCTTCGCTTCCAAGAATTTGCTTGTTGTTGTCGTTAATTGCCAAATGACTGAGTCCTTCTGCAAGTTCCTTAGCGGAGAATTCGGCGTTGCTTCGGCGGTCTTCTTCCTTCCAAGCTTCGTCTAACATTCTTATAATGAAGCGAAGCAAGTCTTTGTCGGCAGAGATTAAATGATTAGTTTCTTCATTAACAAGGTACGCCAGGCACAACAAGGCCGGGGCAGCAATACCTGCCACTTTAACCTTTGCAAAATAAACTAAAGTCTCGTCACTGTTAGCAAACCATTGGCGATCTCTCAGTCGGCGAGAAATGTTGTGCAAAATGCTGATGCACGTTTCTAGTATTTGAAATATTACAGATTCTTCATCTTCGCTCTGCCAGTCGTCATTTTCTTGATCGATCCTCTCGATATTCTCCATGCAAGTTAGTACAACTCCATCTTGAGCGCTCGCCAAGCAAAAACCATCGTGGAAATCAGCAAAGTTCTGTATTGTTCCCAGTGCAATAAGAAGGCTTCCAAAGGAAGTAAAAGTCTCCTCTTGGTCACTTGTCCCCAATTCGTCGTCTCTTCCATCAGTATAGTAATCTGTGAAACAGTTTTTCACGAAGCTATGCAGCACTGTTGCTCCTTCGACTTCGATTATAAACTCCATAAGCGTATTGTATTTTTCTGAGTCGTTCGACCCTGCTGACATACACGCGCTGCAGCTTGTGTTAAACAACTCTTCGAATATTTCACTCAGCTTGGAATATTGAATTATATATCCCTTGGATTTGTCGTCTACGGCTTTTCTCAAATCTTGAAGAGGGGTTAACATCGTTTGAAGGTCATCTTGTAGCTCTGGGAAGCTGTGCGTGTATTTAAGTAAGACTTCCCACTCATCCAGTGAAATCCTCTCACTTTGTTCTTCGTTCGTGTGCTCCTTGTTTACACTTGACGTATAGCCGCGATCCTGTACGGGCCGGTGTTGAACAACTTTGGGCTTCAAATCAGATGTCGGCGGTCTGTCCACAGCCATGTCCATTTGAGGTTGTCGAGGTACTACATTAAGATTTCTTGAATTCTTTGATACACCAGAACCCATAATGATGGGAGTGTTAGACAACCAGTCGCCAAAAGCACGATGCAGCACGTAAATTTACAGTTCCTCAGTTGCTATGCTGTGAATCGTGCTGCGTTTGTCATCGGGGAGAAATTTTCGTGTTGAATATCCTTGCGTAGTGGCCGGTTACTTATGAAATGTAGACGAAATTGTACTTAAATGTTGTCGACAATGAGTTTTTTCGTCGGTTAGAGTCAGACTTAATTTCCGTCGCTCCCTCGAGTTGGATATTCGTTTCTTCCTGAAAGCAATTTCAAGATATTTCGCCCTAACCACAAGCGGCCCAAGCCCCAGCTGGAATAAAAAAAATACAGGTTTACTAATCATGGAGAAGTAAACCTAGAAATGAATAACTCGCCAAAATGGGTTCTTTTCAACATAGTAGGCGGTCAGATAACAAGCAATGCACTATGGAAGTAAGGTGAGGTATTTTTTTAAGAGTTTGACTGTAATTTTTGTTATTCTAAGGAGCGGTCGTAAATATTCCCATACAAACTCTTATAATTTCGCCATGACTCTTACACCTTTTGCTGTTTATTTACGCAAAATGTACATTCATTTACGTCAACAGTTGAAACTATGCGGCAAATATACATTCATTAGCACTTCCATGAACTTCATTAACGCGAAAGAACTTTCAATAACGCTATTTGCATATCTATTAACATTCAATAGCATCTATGGATGAACAATTGCACCTTTGGACAATCAAACAGCACAAATATACTTTCAATCTCGCGCAATGGTTGATCATTAACACCAATAGAAAATCAATTGTATGGTATGACAATCAATTGCGTATTAGAGACATACAATAATACAATTTGCATAGAGACGCATGATCAATTGCACCTTCATACAATCGTTTATTCAAAATGGTCAATCATTTACGTGAACTGAAAAACATTAATGTTTTTCGAATAAACAATAGTAAGAAAAAAATAGTCATCAGTGTCATTCATCGTTGTTACAGGCATTTTAAAATACGGAACAAAAATTCAAGAGTATGTACATTAGTTAAATTTTATGTTTTTTTTTTGCACAATATTTTGCTGAAGCAGACATAAAATGAAGAACATTTTACATGTACAGCACACTCTAAGAAACAGTACGCTGTATGGACAAGTAGTAGCATTGGAGACAGAAACAATCGAAGAAAATCACGCCATTAAGAAACAGTATCCTACTTGAACAACGACAAAGAATTATTCAAGCCTTCGAAGATGTTAATAACGATTATTTGACGGTTGCCGCCACTATCGGAGTGAACCGATCAACGGCAAGAAGTATCGTTCCACGATACTTGAGAGAGGGAAGGATCGCGGAGAGACCACGAGGAGGAGCAAATCATGTTCGAGTAGATGATGAAATGAGGAATTGCCTGAATGACATTTCAAACGAAAATTACCTGCTAACACTAGTACAGATAAATCAAGAATTGAGACAGCGTCTTCCAAGAAAACCAACAATCCATGACCGTACATTGGCAAGAACACTTGAAGGTATGTTGTATCGTGTAAAATTGGCAAGGCCACTCCCAGTTGAACGAAAACCGCCCTGATGTCCTGCAAAAAAGAGTCGACTATGCCAACTGGTTCATGCCCCATGCTGTAATGAATCAAAGAATACTTGTAGACGAGTGTAGGTACAATATTTGGACGACAAGAAGACACGGACGAGCAAGGACGGGAGAGAGGGCATATTGACAAGTATGTGGTCAGCGAGGGAGAAATGGTACTGTAGCACTGGCAATTTCACCCACCAATGGACTCGTTTTTCACTCGGAATTTCTCGTTGGAATGAATGGACAAAGATTTAATGATTTTCTGTCACAGGCAAGGCTAAACCTCTACCCAAATGAACATGTGATTTTCATTTATGACGGCGCACCAGCTCACTACAATCCTGCCATTCCTGGTCAAATTCTGAGCTTAAAAAGCTACCACCATACAGCCCGTTTCTTAACATCATAGAGCAAGCAATAAGCACCTTAAAAGCAGCCATAAAAGCGGACATAAGTCGTCCAGAGCAGCAAGAACAGATGAACAACAGAGCAAAGGCAAGACGACAAGGAATCGCGTCAAGCAATTACCGCACTTAATTGCTACGTCAGGCCCTGCAGAGAATCATAGGCACTATCACGGCTGCTAAATGTGGACAGTGGTACAGATTTATGCAAACGTACATTCCAAGATGTTTAAATAATGAAGAAATTGAAGGAAAATTACAAAACATTACATTACAGTACACTGTAATCGAACAATTTTGAAATCTATTTTTCCCTAGTTGATTGTTATTACTACACACGTTTGTCAGTTCACGTTAATGATTGACCATTTTGAATAAACGATTGTATGAACAACAAAAGGTGTATCTCGCAAGATGATCATCTCACAGCTGGAGCTTGGGCTGCTTGTGCTTCAACCAAATAAAACAATTTACGTAAACAGTGGAATACAATTCCCTATGACGTCATTGACAAGCTGTCTTTCTCTTGTACAACAACATATTGACGTCGTTTGACAACACCAGTTGTCCTTGAGGTTCATTCAAGCAAATTAAAGGTTTGAAATCCTCTTTCGTAAGTCTGAAGAGCTTTTCTAAGGGACCATTGCTGTTGAGGCGTGCGTCTGCTCCAAAGATTTCGTGACTCGTTCATTACTGCATTATAGTAATCGTAGTTCTCTGTCTCTTTTTGTACAAAACCAACCCTGCTGTTTTCTGTTTTGATATGCTTCGCTGCCCTCTTGCGAACGATAATGGTAATTTTTTGGAGTTGCATTGAATTTCAGTTAACGACTTCTGTCGGTTCAAAAGGAAAATAACAAAGATAACTCACAAGGAACTTAAAAAAATTGTTAAAAAAGTCTTACAACTAGTGACTCAATTCATTTCAAAACTTATCGCCCATTTTTCCTCCTTTAGCTTCATGCTCAAAAATGTTTTTCTCTTCGCTCTGACCCCCACGACAGCTTTCTTGCGTCCGTAGATGAAAGAAGAAGGCGTACCTCTAAATTAATCGATGTGTTTTTACATAACTCCAAAGTTACTTACGCTCGTAACTTGTATGTTTGAGTTGGCTGAGTGTGTCAGCTACCAGAATATCTCACTGATGATGATTTGATTAATTCTCAAAACTTTTGGCTTTGTTGCATTCAACAATACAATATAGTAAAATATATATTTCCATGGTTTTTTCTAATTTTTGTTCAGAACTGGCTCAAGGCTTGGACACGGATAAAATCAACCCTTACATAGAGAAATGCTTTGGATTGAAGAAACCGCTGATTACCGTAAGTAAACAGACGATACCATCACCTAATGACCTGTCTGAAATCTTTAAAGTTTTTAACCCTCGTGCACAGTATGACTTTCTGGAATCTTATTGGCTGACGCAAAGGTGCTTGCAGTTGATAACGTACGTTTCACTTGCGTTCACGATTTCCCCCACCCATCCCCTAACCTCTTTATTAACCATGTTTGGTGACTCAACATAAACTTAATTTGTATTGGCCTGTGTAGCGTCTACCTTCTCGTGGTATTTTAATTCTCTTTTGTGTTAATAACTGCAATATTGATGTTGTTAGGTCCTCTTTTGTCCAATACTTCTCTTCCCCTCTCTGCTTCTCATTGCAACAATCTATCTTTCACTTTATTTATTTCAAATTTGCAAGGTGCTTCGTTTGTTGTGCGCTCAGTGTTTAACAAATAACGGTTTTAAACCGAAGATGTTGGAGTTCTACTATCGGGAAATCCTACAGGTGAGTTTCTTAGTTTGTCTTTCTACTTGGGTAGAGAAAAAAATAAAAATGCACGATAGGAAAAAAAAAGAACGAAAAATGGAATGCTTTCAATCATTACCTTTCTGAAGTTTCCTCTGTAGTCTGCCAAAGCCTGAAGCGCTATTTCTCTTTTTCGTAGACATATGGCTTTGAGCATACATACAGGACGCTTTCTACATTGGAAACTGCTGGCTTGCTAAGAGCGCAGACGCAGCCGTCTCGATCTTACAATCAATTGCGCAAGTCAATGAAGCTTGTCGTGGAAGATGTCCAAGAGCAGGTAAATAGAGATGGGTATTTTAAATTGGTATTCTTCATGTAACATGGCATGAAGTGAGGGCTACTAGAGTGTGTTGGTCAAAAATACCGCAGCGACTTATGGGCGAGAGGACATGTCAAGAATTGGCCAGTATGGTGTGGATATCAGGATATTAATTTTCGTTATCACTTTTCAGAACCCAAACGACATCGCATACGTCTTTTCAGGATACGCGCCGCTCACTGTCCGGCTGGCGCAGTTTCTGGCGCGGCCGCAGGGCTGGAGAGGACTTGAAGAGGTAAACAGACGCGTGATCGTACAAATTTCTTTGTTTTTAGAATGCAATATGTGGACCATTGCCAGAGACTAATCCCTTACGCGGGATGCCAGATGAGAGCAAAGAAAAGCGCGTGGAAAACAGTCTATGACGTGCGCGGGAAACGACGCCTGGAGCGTAAGGCATTTGAAATTCTAGTTCCAATAAACTTATTGACCACTAGAGTGACTTATCCTCCCTGCTTGGTGAGAGCACGTTTATTGATTTGTTCCATCGACAATACTACCCTGTCCTCTTTGACCTGTCTAATTTGGAAACCGGCGCCGTTTCGTCTCTAAAGCAGTTCAGTTGCTTTTTATCTGCATCGTTTTTTTATCCATCCATACTCAGATATATTGTTCGAGGAAACCATGCTTCGTAGCTAGTAAAATTGTACGAACTTGCACAGATAATCTGTTTGAATTTTCTTCAGGTCCTTCGGTTGCTCCCAGGCCCCGCAGTGGAAGAAGTCCAACGGCTGCCTCCTGGTCTCCAGAAAAGTAAGATTCACGATCGTTCTGGCACATTGACAGGTTTAGTTTTTTGTGAGGCGCACACATTGTTTACTTGGCAGTGGGAACAGACTACTTTTAACCCCACTGGATATTTGCCCCCTACCACGCTTACGAGTTGAAATTAAACTTTATCAGTTCACCCCTAAATATTCAACTTGTGTCCTTACAGCAGAACACATTCCCTTTCTTTGGTAAGCTGGCCGTAGGGTGAAACCTACAGAAACCACTTCTTTTACTAAGGTTAACCCTTCAGTTCTAGGACGACTAGAACTCCCAATTACACTGACATCATTTCGGACGTCCACTGGGTTTTGCCTCAAAGGCAGCAGAAAATGAAAAGGGTGAATTTTCATATGGCCGCCCAATTGACTAGCCTTGTTAGTGAGGTTACCGATTTAAAGCCTGGGTGTGAAGAGGGAAAAACGGAAATTCTGAATTGGGAAAATGACAGACTCTTGCATAGTTGGGTATATATTCTACTCCATCAGTCACAGAAACGTCTGTAAATATGAACAGTTTTAAACTTACATTTTATGTTAACGATGAGTGACACTGACTTAAAATTTTAATTAAAAACTAGTTTGGCCAGGAGGGATACTTATTATCGGTATTAAATTGTGTTTCCGTCTTTGATTTGGTGAGGGACAAAATTATTATTTTCTGTCTTTTAAAATCTGTTCAGGGCCATCGACAGGCGTAGACAGTTCCATGGATGGTCCACCAAAAGTAACATTGGTTTTCTTCATTGGAGGTTGTACACACGCTGAGATTTCTGCCCTGAGATTTCTTACTCAGCAGGAAAATAGTGAGTGTTACTCCTTGTAAATAAATGGTTCTAATTGGTGGAATATAATATTCGGTTGTGATGAGCTGTGCGGTCATTAGAGAGTGCTGCAACTTAGTTTGTCGTACCTCAGCTTTGAAGGAAGTGTCACGTGTTTTATGTTTCCGAAATACAGACTGAAAGTCTCAAAAACCAAAAGTTTGGAAACCAGAAGTAATAAAAAACGGTTTCACGCCCCTTATTTCCTCTCCCATTTCAAGGGTTGAAATCACCTTAAAGTTTATACTACAGGACAATAACTTTTCCAACTAATGATTGAGTACTTTTTATCTCATGAAAGCATGATGGAACTCTGACAACGCAAAATTTGGGAAGTGATTCATGTTTTGGGAGCGATCGAGAGAATAAGAAAAAGATATACCAACGCATTCGAGGATTCGCGTAACTGTCTCGATTCGCGTTTACTTCTCAAACCCGAACCTTTGCAGCATTTACTCACATTGAGTTATTCTCTCTGCCCCAGGCTCAACAGAGTATTTAGTAGCAACAACCAAGATTATCAACGGCACGTCGCTAATCGAATCCATCATGGAGGAAGGCGCCCCTGTTGAGGCAAACCCATTTTCATAATTTTTAGAATGCTCTTGATGAGAACTTGTTCACGAACATCTGTGAATTTATCCTTCTCCGCTTGTGTTTGTGAGAGAGTAAGTGATCACGCGTGTTTTGGCTGTTTCACGATGTGCAATCTCGGTTTAGTCTTCGCGTAATTTTGGTGGTGTCTTCGCTTTTGAATCGAGATTTACGCTCTTGATTATCTTTTTTACAGAGACACTTTTCTCGTCAGCATAAGAAAAATCTATTGTATAATTACAAATATTCAACAAATGTAAAATATATACAAATTGAGAATCTTTTTTGGAGCATATCCAGAACGTGAAATAGGATTATTTTCAAAGAAATAAACTCAGAAGTTTTTAAACTAGACGTGTTATCAGTCCGAGTGAGTTCCTGAAAGAGGGCTGCTGTTTCAGCCGCAATTTATTCCTGTTTCCATAACTAGAAATGTCTCACTACACAAGGTGATGAACTGACGGAAAAACTTTTGTCTGTGGTGTGAGATTCAATCCGCCGTTTATTTACTAGAGTATTTGTTTTGCTCTTGTGATGCTCCAATATTGTTCAGCCATTTTTTCCCTTCCCTCTTCCTTCTTTCTCTTGATTTTGCTCCTTAGTCCTCAGTATTTCCACATGTCCATAACATATCTTACGCGAACAGGGGAAGATTTTGAAAATGTTCACTTTCTCAACTAGAATCACGTATGATATAATTTGTTTTGTCAATGTGATATTTAAAACCTGCGGGTTATTCTCTATTTTTATCCGGTTTTGAGCCAAAAATACTATCCAAAGGAAGTGAAGGATTGTGGTCTTTCGTTAAGCAGAAATTTTAATATTCATACTTTGTAGTTCAGTGTTCTTCATTAAAATTTAATTATTCGACCATCACGTGCATCTTCACATGAGGAAGAAAATGGCGACCGAAGCTAAATTTAAACGATATGTTGTGACAAGGAAATAAAGAAATGTCCACACTTTTGCGTCCAAACTTGTCGTTGGTACCAACATGGTTTGTGGTCTTCAGCTTGGAAAGTGAATATGCCTTGGTGGGACGTAAGATGGAATGAATGGTTATATCAAATGGTTGGATCAAATGAAAACATCAAATGAAAGCGCGTTAAACTCCTGTTGGAATTTTCTCCTGGAAAGGTAATTTCTAGTTACCAACATATACATTTACCATCATATTTAACTCGAGGAAACGTAGAAAGCTAATCTTTAGACATTGATTGTACCTGGTCATTAGCTTTTTATGCGTTAAATAAGATGTTAAATTCCGAATTTAAAAGTTAACGAATCAAACGGCGTGAATTATATGCACAAAGCGGTGCTTCTCTAATATAAGTTACTCAGGCATCCGATATTTGGCGTATACAATGTAGACTTTACAGTCGTTGAAGCAAAATCAATAGAAAATGTTCAACAATGTTCTAAGTACAGAGGCAAGATTAGTTTACTTACATAGGTAGACAATCCCAAAACACTTACAAGATGTCTGTGTACATCATACAGAATCCCCTGAAATGATGACAACTGTATAAAAATCTTAGGTAAAAACCTGGAACAGTCTCCCAAATAACCTCGAACTGAATGAAATAATTACTGACCATTCTGAAGTTTCCCTCATAATTGTCATCTTAGACTATAATTGATTTCACGTCATGCTTTTGCCCTCCACTGAAATGTACACTGCTGCGATTTCTAGGGTGACCACGGGAGTGGACAATAATTTCTTTTTTTTATCTTCTTTTCTTCTGGGTCACATAAAATAGGATCATTTGTGGTTAATGAATTCGTAAAGCTTCAATTTTAGGATCGGTGGTCCTCTAGAATAGACAAGCTGGCATTATGTAAATGAAAAAACTTCAGATTCAAGGTAAATCAAAAGAGATTAAGGGAGATATGCCTCCTTGTTTTCAGATACGACCACAGCAGAGATGATCAAGGAACAAACTGATTATGAAGAGATCAGAGAACGTATTCAAGTGGAACAAGGTTTGTGTTTATCAAAAGTGATCCATGATAACTGGTGCATTTCTCATAATCATTGCTGCTTACCACAAGAGTAAAGTAGTTCTATCTTTACATTATTAAGACTCAGTTTACAGCAATGTGTTTTTTGCTGTGCCTGCAATCCAGTAGAGAGAAGCGTGAATGCACTGAGCCCTTTAAACCCTAACGGTTTACCTAACATCAGGTGAGGACGGGAGTTGAAGCCAAAAATAATATTTGCGATGTACTATTAAGAAGAAAAAAATTTCCCACGGATTTTTACAAACAAATTTCTAAGTGCACACAAAGCAAGTTATTCCATCTCCCAAAACTCCACCCCTTCTATCAGTTTTCTAGTGGTCCATCCTGTCATGTGAGTTATCTTAAAAGTAATTTTTTAATAACTTTAAGGGTGCTAGGATTTCATGCGGAGAGCCCGATCATTCGAAAAGGAACCCTTACAATTCCGTACATATCCTGAAGAGCCTCAACACAACTTATTCGCTAATTCCGTTCCCTTAGTATGGAATATTGGCATGACGTATATTTTCAGCACTTACAACCAAATAATATGCAGGGTAGTGAGAATGAGGGGAATTACTTTTTGTTTTTTGGGGTGAAATTTTTGAGCTTTTAGTTTAGGGGAGTTGAGATTTTGCCGTCGTCCAAGTCTTTTGTTGTTAACTTGTTAACCCCTAAGAGTGACTAGCGTCTAGTTTCTCCTTAAAATATCACCCAATGAAGGCAATGATCACCAACTTAAGAGGCTCTTGGTTGTGAGACAAACTGAATGAATGAATGAATGAAAACTTTATTTATCCACGGTACTTATCATCAGTAAAAAGTACACTTCCAAGGAGCCTACAACTACGACTGCTAATATCTTTACCTAAAGAGTTCGTGTCTCCTTGTCAGTACCTTAGAAAATATATAAAAAATAGTTTGGAGAATTTCCATATTAATGGAGGGCCTAAAAGGTTAAAACTTTATACTAAACTCTTTAAAACAACCAATTTCATTTAAGCACCTGGCTGTTTTTCTACTTAACCCTCTCTACCTTCCCTTTTTTCAATATGGAATTGCATTCAGCCTACCAATATTCATCTTTACACTAGATCTTAAACAAAACCTTGGAGTATGTTCAATGCCATCTCGATTGCTCGATAATTTATTGTGACTTAGAACCTTCGTAGGCTTTTTAAACCTCGGAGGTATTTTTTTAAACCTCAGAAAACCCTTCAGTGCTAATGGCAGTCAACAAATGAGCTCAACAATGATATGATAAGAACTGGAACTGTATGATTTATAACCAACTTGATTTTAAAAAAAATACATGGCTGGTAAATCTATACATGGCTGTACAGAAACTAGCAAATTGTTCAATTAGAAATGTAAGTATGACGCATTTATCTCTAGTATTTAGTTCATATTTAAGCTCTTACTCGAATGCTGCTGCTATAGCGTCAATGAGCTTATTCCATTTGGATTTACGTCCTTGACGAACTGACTGACAGCGAATTGTAAAATATAAACAAGAATCGGATCAATATTAGTATCTGGGCAACTGCCTACCTACCCCTCCCCTAACTCAACAACAGTCAATTGATAACAAGTTAGGGTTAATGTTGGGTTAGGGGAGGGGTAGGTGGGCAGTTGCCCAGATACTGATATTGATCCCAAGAAGGATCAATATCAGTATCCCAAGAATCTATTCTTGGGCACATTGTGTCAGGTTGTCTCAGTTTTGTCTCATGTGAAAACGTGACCGTTTGGGGAACGAGTCTTCTTTACAGTCCAAAACTACATGGTCACACACGAGCTCCGCTCTTCAATTTACAGAATTGTGTGACACACATCACGCAACTGATCCTTAACTAGGCGAACGAGAAGAATTGCATATTTCGCTAATCGTAATTAATTTCCTAGCAGTTTGTCTAACTCCTTTCTGAACTTGAGTACATGAAACATGTTTTTAAGCTGGAGTGTGTGCTCAAGACACTTGTAAAAATAATCTGGGCATTCTCCTCGGAGGTCTTGAAGTTCAATCAATGTTTGTCCTGTGAATTCAACCATGTCTCTGTCACACACCTGTGCCAATCCAATTTTCTTCAGCCATTTTTTCACGTCCTCATTTGTCCATCCGGCTACATCTGGACCAGAGGGCTGTTTTGTTAGAGTCGTAGCCTCAGTTGTTCGAATCACCGCCTCTAGGGGACCGTCTGTGTGATCCACATCTTTTCCTCTTCCTGCTAATTCTTTGACCAGTTTTGTCACCCCAGAATCAATAGTATGCTTACTCTGAAAGTCAATCCACATTTTCGTTCCCAACAGCATTCCTAGCCAGCCATCCGCTTTGTAATTTTTCTGCATCATCAAAGGAATGATGTCTTTTCTTAACTGGTAGGCGTACTCGGCCTCTGAACGACAGTTGGGACTCTCTTTGTACCTTTGTGACACGCAGATCAGAACAACAGCGGCGTTCTCGACAGCTTTGGCCATTGTTTCCAGTGTGGACCCACCCATTTGCTCCAGATCCATCCATACTCTGTATCCATTAGCCTGAAGTTGATTTTTGACTTGGACCAAGACATCCTGAGCATCCCATTGGTAGCTAATCATCACGTGGTTTCCAGACCCCTCTTTTGTCTTGTCGGCTTTGTCTCTTGCTGTCTTTCCTTCAATCTCCCACAATGCTCCAGCGGCTACCTTTTGCACTTCAGCGTTTTGACTGTGGTGTAATGTGCGTAAGATGTCCACGGTTCCGTTTCCCTCTCGAATGATATCCTTGTTAGAGTCGTCGAAAGCCAGCATCCACAATGCCTTGGCGGCACTCGCTCGTTCCTCGTCGTCGCTTGAGGTCTTTAGTGTTGACGTTAAGACTCTTATTGCCCCTTCGCATCCAAGAATTTGCTTATTGTTGTCGTTAACAGCCAAATGACTGAGTCCTTCTGCAAGTTCCTTAGCGGAGAATCCGTTGCTTCGGCGGTCTTCTGCCTTCCAAGCTTCGTCTAACATTGTTATAATGAAGCGAAGCAAGTCTTTTTCGGCGGAGATTAGATGATTAGTTTCTTCATTAACAAGGTACGCCAGGCACAACAAGGCCGAGGCAGCAATACTTGCCACTTTAACCTTTGCAAAATAAAGTAAAGTCTCGTCACTGTTAGCAAACCATTGGCGATCTCTCAGTCGGCGAGAAATGTTGTGCAAAATGCCGATGCACGCGTCTAGTATTTGAAATGTTTCAGATTCTTCATCTTCGCTTTGCCAGTCATCATTTTCTTGATCGATCCTCTTGATATTCTCCATGCAAGTTAGTACAACTCCATCTTGAGCGCTCGCCAAGCAAAACCCATCGTGGAAATCAGCAAAGTTTAGTATTGTTGACAGTGCGAGTGAAAGGCTGTAAAAGCAAGTGAAAGTGTCCTCTTGGTCACTTGTTTCCAACTCGTCGTCTGTTCCATCAGTATAGTAATCTTTGAAACAGTTTTTCACGAAGCTATGCAGCACTGTTGCTCCTTCGACTTCAATTATAAACTCCATAAGTGTGTTGTATTTTTCTGAGTCGTTCGTCCCTGCTGACATAGTTATGGTGTAGCTTTTGTTTTGCAATTCAACGAGCTTGGAATATTGAATTATATTTCCCTTGGATTTGTCGTCTACGACTTTTCTCAAATCTTGTAGAGGGGTTAACATCGTTAGAAGGTCATCTTGTAGCTCTGGGAAGCTGTGCGTGTATTTAAGTAAGACTTCCCACTCATCCAGTGAAATCATCTCACTTCGTTCTTCGTTCTTGTGCTCCTTGTTTACACTTGACGTATGGCCGTGATCCTGTACGGACCGGTGTTGAACAACTTCGGGCTTCAAATCAGATGTCGGCGGTCTGTCCACAGCCGTGTCCATTTGAGGTTGCCAAGGTACTACATTAGGATTTCTTGAATTCTTTGATACACCAGAACCCATAATGATGGGAGTGTTAGACAACCAGTCGCCAAAAGCACGATGCAGCACGTAAATTTACAGTTTCTCAGTTGCTATGCTGTGAATCGTACTGCGTTTGTCATCGGGGAGAAATTTTCGTGTTGAATATCCTTGCGTAGTGGCCAGTTACTTATGAAATGTAGACGAAATTGTACTTAAATGTTGCCGATAATGAGTTTTTCCGTCGGTCAGAGTTAGACATAGTTACCGCCGCTCCCTCGAGTTGGAGAATTGTTTTTTCCCCGAAAGCAATCACGCGATCACAACTCCCTATGACGTCATCGACAATCTATCTTTCTCTTTTTTAATACAATAACATCGTTTGCAAACATCAGTCGTCCTTGAAGTTCATTCAAGCAAATTAAAGGTTTGAAATCCTATTTCGTTAGTCTGAAGAGCTTTTCTAGGGGAATATTGCTCTTGAGCCGTGCCCATGCTCCAAAGATTTCGTGACTCGCATATTACTGCATTATGATAATCGTAGTTATCTGTTTCGTTTTGAACAAAACCCACCTTGAGTTTTTCTGTTTTGAAATGCTTGGCTACCCTCTTGCGAACGAAAATGCTAATTTTTTTGGATTTGCATTTGCATTTCAGTTACCGACTTCCGTCAGTTCAAGGAAAATAAATTTGTTAAAATAAATGACAACATGGTGTGACGTGAGTCACGCTAATTATTTTCGGACTTGTCAAGTTAATTATTAATAGCCTTTCCATGTAATTCAGGGCTTACGCCCCCTTTAGCTATCAAATAACACATTTGTCAGAGTCTAAGTTAGGAGTTAGGAGCCATTTCTGTAAACACAATTTCGTATCATTCTTGGAGCTGGAGTTGGACTCTATAAGTTCATGTTTCTTTCGATCTTCTTTTGATTTTCAGTTATCCTGATTATATTTCTGTTATTGTAATCATAGTTTTCCACCGTATGTTATGAAACAAGTTTATCAATAAATCAAATGTGGCACTCACTCCTGAGATGTGACCGAGGCAGCAACTTCGTCGGTGCAAAGTCTGAGATCGATGAAGCCCTCGCGGAGATGGATAGCGAGTCGGTTGCGAATTACTTATCGGAACAGAATTGTGAGTGGGATTTTCAACCCACCCCACGCGTCTCATTACGGCGGTGTATGGGAACGTCAGATTGGTACCATGCGACACATCCTAGACGACATGCTCTTGGAGTTAGGGGCGCGACAGCTGACCCATGAGTTGCTGGTTACCATAATGTCAGAAGTTGTGGCGACACCATCCGATATTGACGAACCTTTACCGTTGACACCAGCGATGCTGCTTACGCAAAAGACACGTCCGCTTGGACCACTTCCCGGTACCTTCACGACACAGGATGTCTATGCTCGACAGAGATGGAGAAAGTTGCAATTCCTAGCCGGTCAATTTTGGACCAGGTGGAGACGAGAGTATATCCAAAATCTCCAGGTGCGGACGAAGTGGAACAAAGAACAGCGAAATCTAGCAGTTGGAGACATCGTCCTGATGAAAGACGAGCAAGCCCACCGAAACAAAGCGACACGTGGAACATTCTTTTGAAAGAATTGCGAGGCTAGAGTTGCAGAAAACTTTACAGTTTTATCAGATTTTTGAGAGAACACTAAAAAAACGAATATATTAAAAGAGGGCATTTGGAATTTACTTCACGGCTTAAGAAAAAAAAATTGCAAGCAAACTACTACGTTGACTATTGTTGTGATAACATCTTGCGTGAATTTTTTCTTTGGAGCACGTGTATTTGTTGTAATGCAAAAAAAAAAAATACCACGACCTTGTAGGAATAGTAAAAATAACTCTAATGGGGCGTACCGAAATTTGTATGTACAGATTATGTTTGTTTTTTAAAAAAACTGTCGATATCCTAATTAGGGTAAGGAGAGAAAACCAGTAAGACTACTTTGAAGAACTGAGTGAAATTCATTGCTAGTGTAATTGCTGTTGCAGCGAGATGCGAGATGCGAGATGCGAGATGCGAGATGCGAGATGCGAGATGCGAGATGCGAGATGCGAGATGCGAGAGAATATGAATAATGATAAGGTTCGCTTGTACTAGTTTATCAGTATGTTTAATTGAAGTTCACATCAACTAGTGGTTTGTTAACTCGTATCTCCTTTTCTTTGGCAGATTACTGAATGGCTGGTAACGAAATTACAAATCAAGTACTGACACAAGAGGAATGTGTCTTTCCAACTCACAGAAAAGCTAAGAGAAGAAGTAGCATACAAACTTTTTGCTTGAGTGCGAAATTTGAGTAAATCGAAGAGACTCAAGGCTGAATTTGTTTCGTTTCGATTTATTTCATTTCCTAAAGCCTTTTATCTTAGACTGTGCCATTTGCCAAACAAGTCGAATTTATCATTTGAAGATTATGCTTTACAACTTGGAGCACGTTATGTTTTCATGTTTACCGTTATATCTTCGATTTTTTCATCGCTGCTTTTTCTTTAGTAACATCTGTTTCAATTTTTTTTTTGCCGCCAAAAACTGGAAAAATATGGGCGCTTAAAATACGCATGCGGCACTTTTTTTTTGCACTTATGGAAACTCTAAGTAACAGCTGTTCAAAATGGCGTAATTTTCCCGCCAAAAACCTTAAAAAAATACAGGTGCCCAAAATACGCATACGCCGTTTTTTTTGTTTTTTTTTCCAATGTGGAATGTTCAGGATTTTGTCTTTCATGTCTATTAAACTATATTGTTATTTGATATAAGTCAATAAACTTAAAGTCGTTTGCTGTTTTATTTTGTGATCTTCATTTTCAATCTAAAATATTTCAGTCAACAAACAACAAAATAAAAGTTTCGTCTATTAATTATATTCAAATATTCTTTAATTAGTTAAGTGAATTTCCCTTAAATAATCAAGAAAATTTTGTTCAAATACATACTAAGACTTTTGGCGGGAAAATTTGAAACAATTTGCAGAGTTTCCCTCAACAACATTTTCGACAAAAAATTCTAACTTTTTCCGCCAAGAAAAAATTTCAAACATTCCATTCTCATTAAAAAAAAAAAAAAAAAAAAAAAAGATTCTTCGAAGGTTATTTTCAGAAGTTTGTTTTTGAACTTTTTTTTTTTTTTGCACAAGGTGATATCTACACTTAAATACACTAATAACAAGCAACATGGCCATCTATAAGTTGTTTGTTATTTCCAATGCAAGACTGACATAAAATGCATAAGTTTGCCATGTTGCTACTTGAAAGACCCTTTCAGCTTTCTATTATTTTGGTTTGTTTCACAGGACATATTTGACGGTAACAGATCAACATTTGTAACCAATTTAGGACTTTTAAACCAATATGATCTTTCAAAAGTTTCAGTCTGTCGTTAGTGTCAAGCAAGCTTTTCTTTCGTCGTTTTTGGTCGCAACTTTTATACAATCAGAAATGAATGGCTCCTCGTATCTTTTTAATTTACTTTGATAAAATTTTGGTTGAGTTCAATTACTTAAAACCAAGTTTTTTTTTCTTTTTCATTGGCCAAGTTGGCTTCATCCTTTTCTCTTTTTAATCGTAGGGTTTAAAACAATTAGATAGTTACTTGGCTCCACATTTCCTTGTGAGTAACTGTGATAAATTTTTGGTTAAACTTTTATTTTGCATTGATAAATTCAGTCTAAGGGTCTATCTACTTTACAAATATGACAAAACCTAGTGGCTGGCTTATCAGAGGATACTTTTTAAATTAAACAGTATGCTTCCAATATTACATTCATTGAAAACCTTTTCGATAAGTTATACAGACAAAAATCACAGGAAAAATTTTATTCTAAATTTTTTTCTGGAAGAAAAAGGAAGTTTATAAGGCATCAAACATCTTTAAGCTAATAGCCACCGAGATATTTCTCAAGGAAATATATATTTTTTTCTAGCAATATAAAATTTTTCAATTAACGCATCTATTTGTGGGCTCTGTAAACAATTTACATTTTCGAGACAAACTGAATTTCTCAAAAGTTTAAATTACTTCCAAACTGAATTCATGAATAACTTCTCATTTGCTTGAAATGTTTACAAGACAAACCAAACTGAACAAAGCTCCCACTTCTTTCTTTTACTTGGGTTGGACAGACAATTGTTTTCTTAACTGCTGTAATTACTGAGTGAACTATGATTTGAATAAATTCATTCTGATAGATTTCAAAGCTACCACCATAATTGAGGTAGGTGTTAAATTGACAGTAAGCAATAGGCCTTTTATCTACAAAATACCTTTGACTTTTTCGATGTACTGTTTCGGTGCATACATGACAGATTTTGTGGTCTGTATAACTTTCTTTAAGATCAAAATCATTTCAGGAAAACCATCATAGAATCATCTGAACCAGACAATCAAATAATTATGAGAAGGAATACCATCGATTAAAAAAAAAAATCTAACTAAGTTAAATTTTTAGTATTTTTTGAAAAAAATATTTCTTTCTATGGATTTGTTTCACGTCAAAATAATCTTCGTATCTTGTTAAAAATCGAAATTATTCAATAAAGAAACTCTGTGAAGATTGAGCGAGGGTAAAAGGCATTTATTATGAATGGAAAACAAAAATTCAGTAAGAAAAACTGAGAGACAAACTTAAAAAAATAACCAAATCAAAGAGAAATATATTGAAAAGTTCATTGCGCTGGGATTTGAGCACACCCCTGTTGCGGCACTATGCTCCATCCACTGAGATATTAGAAACCTTGAATTTAATAAAACTTTGTTCACTGTACAACAACCGATCTATCCACTGCCAGGATCACCTCCACAAAAGTTTATAGGTAAAAGTTTGTCAACCTAAATATGACATCATTATAAAATATCAACCCTTTTGAACACAATGTTAAGTTAAGGTGTGGGTGATTAATTTCCTCATTTCAGGGTTTGAGGAAAAAGGAAAATTTCCATGAACTGGATAACGCATCCAGTGATTTACAAAAAAGGAAACTGAGTAGTTTACAAGTACACCAGAGAATATTCATGAGCGAGGTATAGAATCAAAAAAACAAATATATATCTCCCCCAAAAATAGAACCATTAAAATTACAAGAAAGAAAAGGAATTAAAGACAAGTTCAGTCAGGATTTGAACCTTGACTGGGCCTACTTCGGGGTACAATTTTTTACCCACTCAGCTGTGGGGAACTTATTTTATGTATAACAAAAGACCAACTTTAAACACTAGTCTAAAATCAGACATTACTGTCCAAAATCAACTGTACAAACAATAGTCTCTAAAATTGGATACTAGTGTCTAAAATAGACTATTCACTATTCACACTAGTGTCTAAAATCCCAAATCCGTCAGTAACATTAAAATCCAAAATCTGCCATTAGAGCCCAAAGTCCAAATTGGCTACAAGTGTTCAAAATCCAAAATTGGCCACTAGCATCCAAAATTTAAAATCAGTCACCAGTGTCCAAAATCCAAAATCAGTCACTGGTGTGCAAAATCAACCACTAGAGTCAAAAATCCAAAATTGGCCACAGCTGTCAAAAATCCAAAATTGGCCACAGCTGTCAAAAATCCAAAATTGGCCACTAAAGACCAAAATCCTCAAATCAAACACGAGGGTCCATTATCAAAAATTGGCCACTAATGTCCAAATTCCCAAATTGGACACTAATATTCAAAATTCCAAATCGGCCACTGGTGTCCAAAATTGAAAATTGGACATGTGTCTAAATTCTTATTGGACACTGATGTCCAAAAATGGACTCTATTGTCCTAAAATAAAAAATCTGACTCTAAAATCCAAAGTATGGCATTAGTGTCCAAATTCCAACACCAGTGTCTAAAATTATACAGTAGTGACTAAAATAGAATGTTTGGGCAATAGTGTTGAAGACTGGACTCTATGGTCCAAAATCAAACCCTAGTGTCTAAAATCAGAAACTAGTGTCCAAGATTGACTGTTTAGACAATAGTCTCTAAGATCTACCACTAGTGTCCACCATAGGACACCAACTAAAAATGGACTGTTCAAACAATAGTGTGTAAAATCAGACACTAGTTTCTAAAATCTGAAACTAGAGTTTAAAATCGGGCATAATTTCTTGACTCAACTGTTCAAACACTAGTGTCTACATCAGACATTAGTGTCTAAATTTGGGATTTAGTGTCTAAAATCTAACACTAGTGTTTAAAACCAACTGTTCAGACACTAGTGAATAAAATCAAACACTAGCATCAATAATCAGACACTAGTGTCTAAAATTAGACACCAGTGTATTAAATCAGAAACTAGGAAGTTGTGCCAAGCACCACCTTGCATATTTACTTGCTTGCTTGTTTTTCTTGGCATTTAGGTTCAAATTGCTGCAAAGAAGATTGTTGCTCTTGGAGATTATATTTCTGAGCAGGGACAGACACATAAATTTTTCAGAATTGTCAAGCTGTTTTTTTTTTCCCCAGGTATAGGAATGTAGGCTAAAAAACGCTGCAGGATATTATGCTAAGCACTCCCTAACCATGCAATCTTTTGTTTTTTGTGTTCACAAACTGTGAATAAACAAAGAACAGAGAAATCTACACTGTTTAGATATATCAAAATGTTTGGAATGCTACAGCAACTTTACATGGTTAGGTCCAAACAACCTACCAAAACATTTCACAGCAGAATCTATTGGGTTTGTTGACCACTCATCCTTACTAATTACCACTACTGTACATCTTACCCAACTTACATTCCACTCTAAAAATGTGTCTCCAGCCAAAATGTGTCAAATTTTATTGAGTTTTTCACCAATTGATAACAATGCTCACTCTCAACCTCTAAAACCTCACTGGCTGCAGGATATTTTAAAACATTAGAGGGGATTTGTCATTCACTAAGCCAAGAGTATATCCCCACCTAAAGTTGCATTCAGTAAAGTTGTGCTTTTTTTGTCAACTCATGATATCATAGGTGTTATGAATTCTGTATATTTGTCTGTGGTTCTTCATCAAACTTTTTCTTGACCTCCTCTGGAATCTGCACCTGTTTTAGATCCTGCATGGATGGTTCTGGTTCATCTGCTATTAAAACTTGAATCACATTTCCACATGACTTCTTTACTTCTTCATCTACTTCCCAATTGAATAACTCCTTAAGAATAACATAAATGTTAAACTTCCTCATCATCTCTCTGCCATGTTTTGTAGAACATAACTGAAAAAAAAATCAACAAAATACACGAAAAAGTGATTTCTAGTGATTTTGAAGTAAATAAAGCAAACAAACCTTATAAAAACACACTGAGCACTGCAACATACCTTTAGATACAGGAAAGGGTGTAAATAAGAGACCAACTTTAACCTTTTAACTCCCAGATCAAATTTCTAATTTCTCCTTACAGTCAACCATAAAATTCTTATAATTTCAGTTCAGAGAATTTAGTATTGGATCAACTGATTATTCCCAAATTGATATGTTTCTTTATTCTCATCACTTATCTGGTTGATATTGTATTGATATTGTAAGGAGAAATTCTGTCTTGGTCACTCATGGGAGTTAAAGGGTTAAGAAGTAAAATTTATTGTTTTGTGATACTGAAATCAAAATAATTATTTAGTATTTTAACCTTTAAAAAGCTCTAAGCTCATGGTTTTTTAAATTCACCATTTGGAAAAAAATCAGAAACTAGTTGCCAGAAATAACATTTTGGTTTACTCTAGCCAGCAATTGCACTTGAAGGCATGCATGAGGAACATGGCAAGACCAAACACATGCAAAAACAAAGGCACAAGCAAAGACAAAGCACAAATATGACTTTGATTAAATGTTTAACTCACTTTAACTTTATATCAAATTTGAGAATGCAAATGTTAAGCTTGCCTCTTGGTGACTATCACTGAAAATTTAGGTGCCAACATTTTTTCAAACCACCATGGCCACTAAAATTGGTTTCAGCTTTGAGTGCCACATTACCTTTGTTATTAACCATAAAAAAGTACATACACTGACAGACCTGAAGTAAGGCTTCCAATAACATGTTCCTGATGTCTGGATCACTTTCTCTCTCTTTGTTATCATCCATGTACTGGAGATCAGGGGGTAGTTTCTCCATCTCATCTTCAGGAAATTCTTCCGGTCCTGTCAGTGGTAGCAGCAGGTGTGGTAGGATGTCCACAGCATCACTTAATAACCACTGATGGCTTCCTGGGAACAATATACAATCAACACAGGACCAATCAATATCATTAACAACTCTCTACCATCAATCGTTGGAGATTCCAAGAAAACAGAGAACTTTTACCTTTCTGCTCCCAAGATCTCATTAGTAAGTCTCCTTACAGTCTGATGTTATTTTTGAGAATTTGGTACTTGATCAAATAATAATTCCCCTAATCTATATTTTTCTTTATTTTCATAACCTGTCTGTTTGATATTGTATCAACACTGTAAGGAGAAATTCTATCTTGGTCACTCATGATAATGAATGGGTCAAGCACTGATCTTCAAACATTTAAGTTTGGTAAGGAGAGGGAAAGATAAATCAGAATCAATTATGATAGGTGTATGATAGACTTCCTGGCTTTGAATGGTTGTCCTTTTCTCTCTTAAAAATGCTTCATTTATTTAGGGCAGAATAACAAGGAAACGTTATTGAAGTTAAAACTCACTTGACTCAAAGCAGCAATTCTTTAGTACAGCCACAATTCCTCTTCTTTTTACAAGTGAGGCACTGTAGGTTGTGAATGGAAGAAGGCGTTGAATAACACAGCAATCCCTGTCCAAAATATAGTCTCGTGATTCTTGTAATTGCGTTAAATTCGAAAGAAAAGTGGCGAGATAGTTCAGTTCAGCGCGGGGATTATACTTCTCTACGCACAACACTTCTACAATTTTGTATAAACTACATTCCTCAGACGTGTTCGTAACCTTGAGAACTTCACGACATCCAGTTTCTGTTCTTGTTACATTGGACAAAATCATGGCCACTTTGTCGGCGTGCTCACTAGTTTGTTTAAGAGCATAGCTCAAAAAGGGCTCAATGATGTTGAATTTGAGGAGTTTGTCCGAGATGGCGAGTTCTGCAGACAAATTCACGATCGTAGAGTATGCATCTCTGGAAATGTTGGAGTTCAAGTCTCTCGTCAGTTCCAAAATACATCTCAAGTATTCTTCGTTTTGGTTCAGGAAGTGCTTTCCACTATCAGAACCAGAAAGTCCCAAAATATAATCAAGAGCCAACGATTTCACGTCTCCTCGAGCATTAAGCGAGAGAAAAGGCAATAGTTCTTTTACAGCTTTTTGGTCAATCTGATCCACCATGTTGGACTACCGTGGGGATCTGGGAAAACGATAAGTATTCTAGTTCCAGGTCTTCTCAGTACTTCGCGCGAGTTTTTGCTTGGTTTGCTTGGAGAGTTTTTTTGGGATAGATTCTTCTCGATCGCGTGAACAGCATTGATCGATTCCTTTATTGTCCTTATAGTATTGATGCACGGTTTATTTTTTCTTTTATTTAGAATAGCGTGTTAGAAATAATTTTCACGTGAGGAATTAGCGTAGATGAAATTAGGAGTGGGAACAGACCGAGAGATTTCGTGACTTTCTGGCAAATAAGGTCGGTGGATTTTAGGGTAAACATTACTTTATTTGCATATTTTATGATTGAATAATTGCTGCCTTATTCTAGTTGACGCCTTTGATTTCCCCCTAATCACAGCCATCGTGAAATCATCAGCACCTCTGGCTGTTCTGCAGGTGCAAGGTTTTGTAATCTCTGGAACTTAAACAGGTTTGGATCGAAGCGTGTAATTCCAAGGTAACATGTTTAAATCCAAGAAGCTCAAGCGCCAAGCAACTATTGTGATCGAGCATAAACTGGCCGAAACCAAAAGACTGGAAGAGGATTCTGATAGGGAGAAAAACTGGAAGCGATGGGGCCCCTATCTGTCAGAGAGGCAATGGGGAACAGTGAGGGAAGATTATTCATTCGATGGAGCTTGGTAAGAGTTCATTCGATCGATGTTAAGATGATATACAAGTAATCATGAGGTTAAGTAAGCGCGGTCTTTATACCTGACAAGAATGTAAGACTGTGAAAACATTTGTTGTTTGTGCTTTGTGTAATTGCGTTACGTAACAAATCCATTTCAACCTGGTTTTTGATATGGAAAGCTTTGCATTCTCATAATCGTGGTGGTAATATTTTTTATTGAATGGAGAGCTTTGTACCCGCGTAATTGTGATGGTAATATTTTTTGTAAACAACCGTAAATTTGCATTGTGTATTTTTAAACAAAATTCTTGGCCGCCGTTCAACAACGATTTAGGGAGAAGGGAAAAATTATTCGTTTGCTTTGTTTCACATTTGTGACGATTGTGACAACCGGTATATTAAAAATACTTTTACTTACGTGTCACTTTCGTTTTTACCTAAATGCTGGCTGACCATCTTTCATGTGCTGGTTGAATGCACCAGCACTGAACCAAAAAAGACAGACAATTCAAAGAACCCATTTTTGTCTGGGATTCAGTTCAATTTTTGAGCTTTGTGGATGTTTTCCAGTTAGAACTTATGAAAAATTTATTTTCCTTTAGGGCAAATTTTTCCCTAAAAATATCTGTTGTGTTCCAACCAACACCACTATATTGCCTGTCATCTTTGTTTATTGCTTTGTAATAAAACTTTTTAAGGTATGAAGGAAGTTTGAAACTAATTGGCAAAGTTAAGTTAGTTCATAAAAGGGAAAACAGGTAACAAGCATATTTTTGAGTTTTTGTTTTTGAGCAAAAAAATGTTGTTTTTACAGCTGGGACTACTTTTCTCATGACCATGCACGATCTCGAGTCTATCGCTGGGGTGAAGATGGCCTCCTTGGAATAACTGACAGACAATGTAGACTGTGTTTTGGTTTGGCTCTCTGGAATGAAAGGGATCCTATTCTCAAAGAGAGGCTTTTTGGCTTGACAGGAACTGAAGGTTAGTTGAACACTGGACCTATAATTCATGAATCCAAGGTGTTGCAAAAATTTATTTTGATAATAACTTAAGGCACCCTTAGAGGGATCAGACAGCATCAGTCAATGGCATACAGCTTGGTGTGTCTGCACTTGTACATGTAGCTCAATAATTCAGTGTTAGTATAGGTAATCACATGATTTCAAGTGCAATTTGGAATAAATAAGCACGAGTAAATTTTTTCAAAGCCTAAGAAAATTGCACAAGCCAGTAGGGTGAGTGCAATTTGTGGTATTTGAAAAAATTTACAAGTGCTTATCAATTCCAAATTGCTTGAGAAAAATCATGTGATTACACATTAATAATATACATTAAAAAATATGAGATAGCTTATCATAATTATGCAGAAGCAAAGTGTGCACATCAAGTGCAAAAATAATTTATTCAAACCCTGCAAGTGACATTGTGTGTTTGGTCAAAACAACCATGTACAATCAAAACAATAATATGCAATGATATTTTCACATCTTTAAGGCACAAAAAACTTCAAAGTCCAGCTAAAAAGTTCAAAGTCCAGCCAAAAAGTTCAAGAAACTGTTCAGTCTGGTTTGTTACTTCTTTACACTGAATTGACCCTCTTCTGCTTTGAATTACCTGAAAACTGCATTTATCTTAACCAATCAGAACTGAGAATTTTTTTCTTGTATCCTATTAGAATGATAATGTACATGAAGAAATTATGTGCTTCTGATTGGCTGAAAATGAATGCATTCTTATGTAACACAAGTGCAAAATTGTCACACAAGTGCAAATTACAAGTAGCATGGGTACACTTTCAAAATTTCATCTGTCATGACTCTCTGTGCTGTTTTTCCGTGTACAATATTAACAAGTAATAACACAATTTCTCTTGCAATTTGGTGTACAAAAACACTTGTAAATTTCTCAAAGACTATAAATTGCACTTGCTGTACAGGCTCAAGCAATTTTGTTGTCCTTAAAAATTTACCCATGCTTACAGACACCAAATTACACTCAAAATCACATTATTACCTTTAATAATGTGAATAGGAACAGCACCATTTAAGAATGGTGCTTACTGAAAAGTTTTCTTTTTTGCAAAAAGTGATAACAAGGAAATGTTAAAGGTAGAACACAGAACATATTTAAAACTGCAATCCTTTGGGTTGACTTGCAATCTGCACTGGCTGGCTCTTTGTTTCAAGAAATCTCACAATGACTATCCCCTTCATGATCCAAGATCACAAATCAGATGTAAAAGAAGAAAGCTATCAAAAATGGTGCTTTGGACTGAAAACCTTGTTTCTGGAAGAAATTAAGTTTCCAACACTGTTCAAGACAGATTTGTACCCTATACATGAGTTAGTCATTTTCCTTAATCAAGCATCTGTTTCCTAAATGTGGCATTTATTTTGGGGTGGCACTCATTAACCCATTGTCTCCCTGAGAGTGACAAGCATTTAATTTCCTCACACAATATTACCCCTGAATCATGCATTAAGGTCACTAGAATTAAGAAAGTAATCACCAATTAAAAAAGCTCTTGATTGTTAAACAAATTCTCCTTGTCAGCGCCTTAGGAAATGTATAGAGCATAGTATGGAGAGTTAGGTGTAAATTGTTAATATCTTTGCTCTCACATGCTGTGCTTATTTTGGGGCAGGGCATAATAAAGTAAATAAGGTCATATACTGATGGACTGATCTTATGTTATGCATATTTGCCAGGTAACCATGGGGAAGATGTGAAGGAGTGCTATTACTATCTTGACTCCACTCCAACTCATTCCTACATGAAGGCTTTGTATAAATACCCTCAGAATGAATATCCCTATGGCTGGATCGTTCATGAAAATCAAAACAGATCACGACAAGAACCTGAGTTTGAACTCACTGATACTGGTAAGGGAATGACAATCTGAAACAATGAAGTAATAATTTGAGGAGTCTTGTTTCAAATTCCAATGTTTTCAATTTGCATTGTTGTGCTCCATGGAATTGCCTCTGAATGTTTTATGTCCGCTTATTATTTCAACGATTTGGCTTGTGTTTTTTCATCTTTCACTCAGGCCATATTTGATCAGTACTATGCTCAGATAGACTCTACATGCATTGAAAAGGCTAGAAGCCAAAATACCAGAAAATGAAATAACAGTGGAGACATAAATCCCTCATTCATTGGTTTAACATATAATACAATTTCACATTTTACTCATTGCTTGTATTTTTTCCTCACCCCTAAGGGGCTTGGTAAAATACTATGTAACTCACAAAATATCTGTTCATCTTATGTGAAACCATCAAATAAAATGAATGAATCTAATCAAATGAAAATGATACCTCAGTATTGGTAGATGTCACTGGGTGGATCAAAAGGTACCTGCTATATGCTGAAGTATCAGTTGAACCTTACAGGTGCTTTGCTTTCTAATTAAATCACAATCTTGGTTGATTTGCAGTGCTGAACTACATTATTTGGGCTGTTGAAATATTAATCTAAATGTCTTGTCTTCTTATAAGACAGTAGCTTGATCTGATTTGAATATGTGTCTAAATTTCTTCAAGGTGTATTTAACGAAAGTCGCTACTGGGATATTACTGCAGAATATGCAAAGAACACACCCAATGACATCCTCATCAAAATAACTGTAGCAAACCGAGGTCCAGACACAGCACGAATTCACATTTTACCAACATTGTGGTTCAGGAACACATGGATCTGGGGTTGCAAACATGAAGGATGCACTCGCAAGGCAAATATGAAACAAACTGCTCCCAACACAGTGACATGCTCTCATGAAACCTTGGGAAAGTACACATTTGTTTTTGATGTGAACTCTGAAAGTGAGATTCCAGAATTGCTCTTCACTGAGAATGAAACAAACACAGTGGTATGTTAACCAATTTATTTCAGACTGGGCCGATTGTTACTTAGGTATAAGCTCAATGTTAGAGCAAGGTAGAGGGATTTTCATAAAAATTTAAACCCTAAATGAGTTTCAAATAAGCAAGAACAGAAGACAATCCATTCAGAGGGCACCCCTATGACCTTAAGAAGTGTTCCCTGAATACAGGTTTCCTAACAGGTTGTAACTTAAAAAGGTACTAAAGTTACTAGAGCATTTTAGCACTCTGGAGCAAATTTGGGTCCTTTGAATTGAGGTGTCTCCTGGATTGAAAATCTTGATCAATTAGAAACTCGTATTGGACTTCAAAGGTTTCATGTCAAGAGTAGGGCTATCCTTAAAGTCTACTGAATCACTCTACTTACAATTTCCATGATTTACAACTCCCAGCTTAATTGTGCCCCCTTATTAATTGGATGGATCATTTAAGGAAGTAGGC